CAGAGGCCAGTGAGATTATTGTTGTATAAAAGCACAGCGCTTCAGAGGCCAGTGAGATTATTTGTTGTATAAAAGCACAGCGCTTCAGAGGCCAGTGAGATTATTTGTTGTATAAAAGCACAGCGCTTCAGAGGCCAGTGAGATTATTTGTTGTATAAAAGCACAGCGCTTCAGAGGCCAGTGAGATTATTTGTTGTATAAAAGCACAGCGCTTCAGAGGCCAGTGAGATTATTTGTTGTATAAAAGCACAGCGCTTCAGAGGCCAGTGAGATTATTTGTTGTATAAAAGCACAGCGCTTCAGAGGCCAGTGAGATTATTTGTTGTATAAAAGCACAGCGCTTCAGAGGCCAGTGAGATTATTTGTTGTATAAAAGCACAGCGCTTCAGAGGCCAGTGAGATTATTTGTTGTATAAAAGCACAGCGCTTCAGAGGCCAGTGAGATTATTTGTTGTATAAAAGCACAGCGCTTCAGAGGCCAGTGAGATTATTTGTTGTATAAAAGCACAGCGCTTCAGAGGCCAGTGAGATTATTTGTTGTATAAAGCACAGCGCTTCAGAGGCCAGTGAGATTATTTGTTGTATAAAAGCACAGCGCTTCAGAGGCCAGTGAGATTATTTGTTGTATAAAAGCACAGCGCTTCAGAGGCCAGTGAGATTATTTGTTGTATAAAAGCACAGCGCTTCAGAGGCCAGTGAGATTATTTTTTGTATAAAAGCACAGCGCTTCAGAGGCCAGTGAGAATCTTGCTTATATCATGTCAATGATGAGCAACACGACAACAGGACACTGAAAGGTACATCTGTCTGTTGTCTATGCCGATGGTTTGAAACTCTGAAGGGGTAGAGGCCGATCATTTAAAGTGGATCCAACTGGTAAAGGTTACCAGAGGGGAGAAAAGTAACACATTACATGATATATATTATTATATACAGTAGATGATTCAAAAGGTTCAAAGGGCTTTTTAACAGCTTCTACCCCCCAAGTCATAAGACTCCTGAACAGCTAATCAAATGGCTACCAGGACTATTTGCATTGTCCCTTTTTACTTATCTATTTTTTACTTAACACTTATTTTTCTTAAAACTGCATTGTTGGTTAAGGGCTTGTAAGTAAGCATTTCACGGTAAGGTCTACACCTGTTGTATTCGGCGCATGTGACAAATACAATTTGATTTGATGGCTTTAAAACAGCAGCATCTTTTAAGACATGAATGCCTTTTATCTTTGAGTGATAAGTCACCTGCAGCTCTCTCTCTCGCTCACTCTCTCTCTCTCTTGGGTTTCAAATGTTGTCTGAGATCGCAACAGTAATCAAGGGAGGCGGGGCTTAGCGAAGTTGTCAATTGTCTCACTGAAAATGAAAACAAAGACATTGAAAAAGGCGGAGATGTTTTGGACGCCCTGAAGTGAGGTCGGAGCACAGAGAGAGATAGGGGCTCTAAAACGGGATGACGTTCTTCCAGGCCAGAGCACCCAAACGTGGCAACGGCTAAGTCCCAAATTAGTTTGGATTGGTGTACAGTGGTTCTTCTTTTAAAAGTTTCGAGCTTATGCCGCGACCGTTTGTGGTAGATGGTGGCAGATTGTGATAAATCGCGTCATTCTGTCATTGCACCACAAGGGGGAGTTAGAACGCTGATCTACCGGTAGTCTAAACTGTGGCACAAATTGACTATCTTTTTGTAAATTAATGGAGGTGTGAATGTTTTCAGTCCGAGAGTCTCTCTTCTCTGGCAATTATTTTTTTTTGCTGCCGGTGGTCCTGCAGTTGAGAGAGAACTTGAGTAAATACAATGGCGCAATTATGCTTGACGTGGACTGACGATTTTTCGAAAAATAGGCACGGTGGCTTTTGGCTTCTCTCCCTCTAAAAACAGAAATAAATAATTCTAAATAACAAACTGGCTTTATTTACCACAGTGTGAAAGAATGATAGCCCCTCTATATAAAGTGAGTTTCTGAAACACGGAGTCCTTCTTTGCTGATGTGAATAAGAAACTGAATGAAAGAGAGTCCAGTGAGGATTTGTCAGCATAAAGCTGAGTGACTCACTCATTTGTGGCTTTGGATCAAAATAAATAAGTACCAACATTCTTTCTGATAGTCTTTAATAAAGAAATGTTTTGACTGTTTTGACCAAGTTAATATGTTCATGTTGTGTGTGTTCAATTATTTGTGACATTGTGCTTACAATGAAGAATGTAAACGAAATAACTCCTATTCATAATGAATAATCAGATACGTGTTGCAAGCTTTTCATTTTTCCTTATACACATAGAAACGACAACTACATCACACCTGCCCAGACCCACCTGCTCACACCCCCATCTCCAGCGCCCGCATCACACCTGCCCAGACCCACCTGCTCACACCCCCATCTCCAGCGCCAGTATCACACCTGCCCAGACCCACCTGCTCACGCCCCCATCTCAAGCGCCCGCATCACACCTGTCCAGACCCACCTGCTCACACCCCCCATCTCCAGCGCCCGCATCACACCTGCCCAGACCCACCTGCTCACGCCACCATCTCCAGCGCCCGCATCACACCTGCCCAGACCCACCTGCTCACGCCCCCATCTCCAGCGCCCGCATCACACCTGCCCAGACCCACCTGCTCACGCCCCCATCTCCAGCGCCCGCATCACACCTGCCCAGACCCACCTGCTCACGCCCCCATCTCCAGCGCCCGCATCACACCTGCCCAGACCCACCTGCTCACGCCCCCATCTCCAGCGCCCGCATCACACCTGCCCAGACCCACCTGCTCACCCCCCCCATCTCCAGTGCCCGCATCACACCTGCCCAGACCCACCTGCTCAGCCCCCCATCTCCAGCGCCCGCATCACACCTGCCCAGACCCACCTGCTCACGCCCCCATCTCCAGCACCCGCATCACACCTGCCCAGACCCACCTGCTCACGCCCCCCATCTCCAGCGCCCGCATCACACCTGCCCAGACCCACCTGCTCACGCCCCCATATCCAGCGCCCGCATCACACCTGCCCAGACCCACCTGCTCACGCCCCCATCTCCAGCGCCCGCATCACACCTGCCCAGACCCACCTGCTCACGCCCCCATCTCCAGCGCCCCCCATCACACCTGCCCAGACCCACCTGCTCACCCCCCCCATCTCCAGCGCCCGCATCACACCTGCCCAGACCCACCTGCTCACCCCCCCCATCTCCAGCGCCCGCATCACACCTGCCCAGACCCACCTGCTCAGCCCCCCATCTCCAGCGCCCGCATCACACCTGCCCAGACCCACCTGCTCACACCCCCATCTCCAGCGCCTGCATCACACCTGCCCAGACCCACCTGCTCCCACCCCCATCTCCAGCGCCTGCATCACACCTGCCCAGACCCACCTGCTCACACCCCCATCTCCAGCGCCCACATCACACCTGCCCAGACCCCCCCCCCCCCCCCCCCCCCCCCCCCCATCTCCAGCGCCTGTATCACTCTCCGCCAAATGGCCTCAAACTGCACCATTTTGCTCTCTCTCCGTCGCCCACACACTTTAAACATTTTGATAATAAAGCATTTAAAGGCTGACATTGGTTGATTTTAATACTTCTGGACAGCCAAATTTCTCACTCCACCCATAACTTTTTGACTTTTTAACATTCCCAGAAGGCATGGATTATTAGAACCTAATGAAAATTGAACCTGGTAATTAAATTAAATGTACTGCAGGCCTAAAACCTACGGGTTTAACCTTCTGAATGAATGATTATATTGAAGATAGAAGCCGCCTCTTAATGAGTTCTGAGAGCCGATCCATTACCCAACAAAATAACATCAATTTATTTAGCCTAATTGAATGTCTGTGGAATGCGGTAGGCCAGAGTCAAGCGCAGGACACAGCCTCCCCGAACCAGAAGGAAGGGCCGTAGCCTCCCCGAACCAGAAGGAAGGGCCGTAGCCTCCCCGAACCAGAAGGAAGGGCAGTAGCCTCCCCGAACCAGAAGGAAGGGCAGTCACGGCAGAATCCATGACATAGCCTAATTGTTTTTTACGACTACAGACATTAGGCTATTATTCCTAAAAAATAAATGGAAAATTACTACAATGTAAATCCAAGCACTCTTAAGGTTTTACATTTCTAACTCAATGGCTTTCGTGGAGATCAGACCGTTTTCATTTGCAAGGATATTTGTGCGTTTTTGACCAACTGTAAGTCAAAACTGTTCTGCTATTCCAAGGATGTGTAACCGAAGAGAGATACCACGAGTGGACACAGAATACCAACTGGATGGATCCCAAGGCAAATTTGGCTTAAAAAAAATAAAATATCTAATTCAATAATATATTTGTACCACTGTAGATCATGTGTTTTTATTTACAGTAGTGATGGACAGCTGGAGGCATTTTGAAAACATATTTTCACACACTTGTTTTTCAGAAGTGTAGAAGGTTGTGAACTCCGCAAACAACGTTTCCACTCCGAGAATGAGAACGGGTAAATTACTGTAATTAATACCTTCATTCAATACATTGGAATATATAAAAGAAGCCAGCCACCCATGATGGGCTATTAGCAGGACAATAGACTCTTCACACCCCCCATTAATTTACAAAAGGATAGTCTAGTAGCTTGACTAGGTGTGAAAAATCCCCCCAACTTGCGATGTATTCGATGCTTAAGTACTCTAAAGTTGTACATTTCTAACACCAAACCTCATGCAAACGCAAACTGTGGGATAAAGCATATCCTGTACAGTATTTGTTCATCGACATCTTTAATGTTTTTGTTAATAAAATAATGATAAAAATAAATACTATTTCAAAATGCAGAGGTTTATTTTCAACATCTCAGCTCCATTTTAGCTGCACTTCCCCCTCCACGACCACGGGTAAAACCTCGCTGAGATTATCCATGTTGTACCGTCGGTTTCTCAAGCCAAAACGTCTTGACGGCCTTCACCAGTTCATCTTTGCCGGTAGGCTTTGGCGGAGTTACAGATGAATTGTTTTCAGTTGATGCCAAACAAAGTTAGATCGGGTTTAAATCAGGAGACCTACGAGCAGAGATTGAAAACAATATTTGTAGATATACTGTAGGCCTACCGTAGGCGAGGTGAGTCTCGCTGGTGTTGAGTAATGTGCTGTTCAAAGTGTTGTCGGTCTACCTACTCTGCTGACGTCTTGACCCACTTTATGCCCTCATTTGCAACGCAAACCCAGGCGGCGGTGTTTTGGGTCTGCATTTGAAGAAAAAAACATGACATTAGCCTAACAGCCAACATTAGGTCAAATAATGGAAATATACATGTAAATAGGCCTAAACACAACAACATATTGCTATAATTCTACCTTGAAAGAAACAATGTGGTCTCAGATACACCTCACTGACATAGGGTCCAGCATATCTCTAGATGATGTCATTGAACGTCTCGCCAGCTTTGATCCATGCCTGGGCCTGCAGCACGCAAAAGTTATTTGTTTGTCAGACGAATCATTGGGTCGAAACTACAGAACAGTACAATACAAGAGAACACACGTGGTTAATGTAAAAAAAAAAAAAACATATTTAAAAAATGTCTTACCGAGACTTTCCATAAGTCCACTCAAGTTTCTTCAACTGTCTTCTGACTGTGATCAGAGCGATGTTGATGTTGTGCCGTGATGCCAGCAGGTTTCCTTCTCCGATCGCTCACCATCTTCATCCATCAGTGAGTCGATGGCTTGAATAGTCCAGAGTGGCGCAGCGGTCTAAGGCACTGCATCTCAGCGCTTGAGGCGTCACTACAGACCCCCCTGGTTCGATTCCAGGCTGTATCACAACCGGCCGTGATTGTGAGTCCCATAGGGTGGCGCACAATTGGCCCAGCGTCGTCCGGGTTTGGCCGGTGGAGGCCGTCATTGTAAATAAGAATTTGTTCTTAACTGACTTGCCTCGTTAAATAAAGATAAAAATGGAATACAATGTCAAAATGTGCAGCAGACAGTAAAGACCAGCAGTAGATTTATTGAATCATTATTAGGCCCACTGTACCTGATCATTTTCCTTTCGCGTTCGGCGTAACACAGGCATCTGGTGATAGTGTTTGCGAATAGCACTGTCCGTGACCGTAATCCCCAAGTCTAACAGTATTTTACCGACATGTTGCGGTTTATTCATTGTTTAATTATTCAAGCCTCCTTTCTCTTCTCTGTGCTTTAAGAGAAGCCTGGATGGGAGGACCCATCCTGATCAGCAGGACAATAGACTCTTGCCGAGTTTAGGGACTTGAAATATATTAATGGATGTTTGCAGGGCATGTCACTTCTCCCATCTCTTTGCATAGCCCACCAAATGCACTGTTTTCTAACCACATCTGGATGGATCCATAATGAATTACTGTGGGAATAAATATCACTGGATGACAGAGATATTGGAATAAAGTAGGCTAATGAAGGCATCACATTGTTGCTTACGGAAACACACAAAGTCATCCAATTGTTATAATAGGATTTGAAGCAACAGCCTACCCTGCGTGTGGTCAACTATTTCAGCACTGTTTCGCGCTGCTTTGAGACAAGCATGGGGACTGGTCTTGATAAATCAATCCGATTTTTATTTTCATTGAATCTCCGTTTGGGTATTGGTTAGCCTACAATTAGGGTGTGGAAATGTTAGGATTATTTTGCTCTTCACTCGCAGTCACTTAGTAGCCTAAGGTTTGCTCCCGACCGGTCGCTTAGTAGCCTAAGGTTTGCTCCCGACCGGTCACTTAGTAGCCTAAGGTTTGCTCCCGACCGGGCACTTAGTAGCCTAAGGTTTGCTCCCGACCGGTCGCTTAGTAGCCTAAGGTTTGCTCCCGACCGGTCGCTTAGTAGCCTAAGGTTTGCTCCCGACCGGTCGCTTAGTAACCTAAGGTTTGCTCCCGACCGGTCACTTAGTAGCCTAAGGTTTGCTCCCGACCGGTCGCTTAGTAGCCTAAGGTTTGCTCCCGACCGGTCACTTAGTAGCCTAAGGTTTGCTCCCGACCGGTCGCTTAGTAGCCTAAGGTTTGCTCCCGACCGGTCACTTAGTAGCCTAAGGTTTGCTCCCGACCGGTCACTTAGTAGCCTAAGGTTTGCTCCCGACCGGGCACTTAGTAGCCTAAGGTTTGCTCCCGACCGGTCACTTAGTAGCCTAAGGTTTGCTCCCGACCGGTCGCTTAGTAGCCTAAGGTTTGCTCCCGACCGGTCGCTTAGTAGCCTAAGGTTTGCTCCCGACCGGTCGCTTAGTAGCCTAAGGTTTGCTCCCGACCGGTCGCTTAGTAACCTAAGGTTTGCTCCCGACCGGTCACTTAGTAGCCTAAGGTTTGCTCCCGACCGGTCGTTTAGTAGCCTAAGGTTTGCTCCCGACCGGTCGTTTAGTAGCCTAAGGTTTGCTCCCGACCGGTCACTTAGTAACCTAGTCCTACTCCCGACCGGTCACGTTCCTAACGGAAACCCTGAGGCCTACATAGGCTACTGTAAAATGCATTTTCGTTTTTCTTGGAAGAGAAACAACATAATATTAATCAAATTAGCTACATTTCTAAAAATCAATCCCATATAGTCTGTCCTAACAAAAAAAAAGGTTTTAAAGTCTCTGGTAGAGCCAATATTAAAACAGTCAAATGCATTTGTGAATTAAATCACTTCAGCCGACAGGTCCCGTGTAGCTCAGTTGGTAGAGCATGGCGTTTGCAATGCCAGGGTTGTGTGTTAGATTCCCACAGGGGGCCAGTATGAAAAAAAAATGTATGCACTCACTTAACTGTAAGTCGCTCTGGATAAGAGCGTCTGCTAAATGACTAAAATATTATTTTAAAAAAGTAATATTGCGGTATATTCATTGTTTAATTATTCATGGCTCCCATTGTTATTTTGTTTTATAACTAAAATGCTTGACTGTATTTAAAGACATGGATGACTTGTACTGTATGCATTGCCAATAGGTAAGTCACGCTAAAACAGCTACAGTAAACAGACCTCGTAGGCCTACAGCTCCCATGGCATGTCAATAACTTAGCTTCTCAAAGACCCCCTCTGGTGGTCAAACCAGCACTAACTAGCATTAATGGCAACAATGGCTGACGCTTAAATAATGTGCCATGGAATTCTGCTGCACCCTGCAGGTTGTGCTGCAGTACGACGTAACTTTTAAAGGAAGAACCACCGTAGAACGCTTCTGTCTATAACATGAGCTGCTCAGTATGTGTAGGTAATCCTTTCTAACTTGGCTTTTTTGAAAGCTATCATGAAGAACTGCAAAAGTGTTGCTAAGGCTCTCCGCTTTCTGGAGGACCGAGTTTTGAAAGTGGAATGCCCGGTGGAAGCAGAGTATGATAGCTAAGGAGATGGAGAAAATTCTGGTGTTTGATTGCAAATATGCAGAGGGAGTTGAAAAGAGAACACACAGAAGGCTGTTGTATAAAACACCTGTCTCTGGATTACATCTTCAAACTAAGGGCAACCATGGCATCTGTGACAGAGAGGGAGAAGCGTCCATCCATGTATACGGGTAAGAGAGTCTAGCTAGCTACATTTTCAGATATTATACGTTTCTAATTTTGTCAGAAAGTCATTTTCATTACAAGTTACAGCGTACTGTTAACTAACTAGCTAACGTTAGAAGGCTGGCTGGCTCGCTAGCTAACGTTCCGTGTATGATCTGTGTAGTTATATTATTAGTATCTCAGAGCCATTTGCATTGCTAGTTATAGCCTAATGTTAGCTAGCTAACATTGAACCTAGTTGGTTAGCTTTAGCTACCTGTAGATTCATGCAGGGTAGTAAAGTTATGAGTTGGTTAGCTTTAGCTACCTGTAGATTCATGCAGGGTAGTAAAGTTATGAGTTGGTTAGCTTTAGCTACCTGTAGATTCATGCAGGGTAGTAAAGTTATGAGTTGGTTAGCTTTAGCTACCTGTAGATTCATGCAGGGTAGTAAATAATAATATAATAAGTTATGAGTTGGTTAGCTTTAGCTACCTGTAGATTCATGCAGGGTAGTAAAGTTATGAGTTGGTATTATGGCTTGTTGTTTAGCTAGCTAGCCACATGTCTAAACAAAAGACTCCACTATGCAAGTAACCATTTCACTGTACCGTTTACACCTTCTGTATCCTGTGCATGTGACAAATAAACTTTGATTTGATTTGATATAGTGCGTGTTTACTAGAGAAGAACAACATGATCTGCACCAAAGTAAAATTAGGATATAAAGGTAGGCCAATGTGTCCAAGTTCTAAAATTATCCAGTAGAATACCCTGCTTTTATTCACAACCGTAAGCTATTTTCTGTAATTAGCTCACCATTAACTTGAAAATAGTGATCTTGTTGCGAGTTCATTTTCCTGTAATAATGAATAGAAATTAGTTAAGTTAAGACGTTGTCAGCTATATGATACGGTCATTATTTGAACTGGCTAGCCAGCTAACTTTACACTAGCTAGCTAGCTAGCTAACAAGATAGAAACGAACCAAGACGTTGTTTAGAAAGTTGCTTTTAGTTGCCTGTTTACTAAACTCATTTTTAAATGGATGGGTTTATTGGTGTTAAAAAAAAACAACAGTTGTGCTATTTTAGACCACCAGGCTGCTGGAGCCTGTCGTTTTTTTTTTAAACGACAAGTTTGATGTCGGACGACAATAGAATGTTCATGATGTCACTGCGACAACTGTATACAGACATGTCGATAGGCGTAGTATATCTTTGGTTGATTAGTACGCTACCGTACTCACTTTGTTTAGCACATGACCTCACATGTGAATCCTTAAAGAGATGGGTGGGGCTAAGGCTTAAGAGGGTGAGAACGATGCTGAATGGGTGTAGACAAAGAAGAGCTCTCCAGTAGGTGTCCCAAAACATTCAAGGGCCATTTTCTCAAAAGTGGGGTTACAAGTTTATCAACTTTCAAAGCAGAATTACTTTCTCATTGTTCCTCAACTGTAGTGTATGATATACCATTTTACAGTCTCTACTTTTATCCAATGTAAAAAACCCAATTTCAAATGTTGCTACATAAGACCGAATCGAGCCGGTCGGTCACATACAGAGCCTTGCAAAAGTATTCATCCCCCTTGGCGTTTTTCCTATTTTGCTGCATTACAACCTGTAATTTAAATTGATTTTTATTTGGATTTCATGTAATGGACATACACAAAATAGTCCAAATTGGTGAAGTGAAATGAAAAAAATAACTTGTTTCAAAAAATTCTAAAGAATAAATAACGGAAAAGTGTAACCAAAAGGTGCAACCAATTACCTTCAGAAGTCACATAATTAGTTAAATAAAGTCCACCTGTGTGCAATCTAAGTGTCACATGATCTGTCACATGATCTCAGTATACATCTGTTCTGAAAGGCCCCAGAGTCTGGAACACCACCAAGCAAGCGGCACCATGAAGACCAAGGAGCGCTCCAAACAGGTCAGGGACAAAGTTGTGGAGAAGTACAGATCAGGGTTGGGTTATAAAAAAATATCAGAAACTTTGAACATCCCACGGAGCACC